GACCGCCCCCAGCCCCAGCCGCCCACGCGCGGCCACCCCCGGCGGTCGCTCACGCAGGCGTCGTGTCGTCACCAGCAGGGCGGCTGGGGCGGGGCGCCCCCCGCGGGACCCACCCGCCGCGCAGGGTCAGCTCAGCTGACGGCAGGCCAGCAATTATAAACGGGACCGGACAATTATGCCCCGCCGCGACACGCCACGCCACGCCACGCCATGCCACGCCACGCCGCGCCCGCCAAAGTCCGGCACGGTAGCGTCCGCGGCGAGGGGTGGCCGGCGGCCCGCGCTTTGGGCCCGGCGGTGGCGGGGGCGGGGCGGCCCCTCATTTCCGGACGCTAGTTGCATGAGGGCAAGGACAGCAGCGCCGGCGGGGGCGGGGGGCTGTCTGGCTGTCGCGGTATCGATGTCTACATTGGCACGGGTACGCCGGGGCTCAGAGGCGCTTACCACGACCGCCCACGACCACGGGGGACGTCATTACCGCAGTCAGGTGCAGAGCCCGTCGGGCCCGCAACAGTATGTTGCGGCCCATGAGGTGATCGCATGAGAGGCCCCTGTCAGTCATCATAGCGGGCGTCAACTGTGCAGTGGGGGAGCTGTGTATACGTTTTCCAATCGGCCGACATCCAATGCCGATAAAGGAGAACTAATTTTACAATACGCGACCTTTCGATCGCAGGCTGAGGCGGCTAACACTGAAAATAGCGCAAGCTGCGTGTGGCGCTCACTCTCCCTCACGCAAGGGCCCAAGTAGTGTAGAGTCCGAGGAGCGCCTGTCTACTCACTCTGCTCCTCAGGGCGAGATGTCGTAGGACTGGTCCGCCTGCACCGCCCCCGACACGGTCTGCAGTGGCCTCTGCTCCTCTCGCCGGCCTCGCCAGGAAGCGCTGCTCCCGCTGCGCTGGCTTCGCGCCGAGCCCCCGCGCTCCAGGGCCCGCGGAGACACGGCGACCTGGGGCTCCTCGGCGATGGGGCCCAGCGGCCGCGGGCCGCCCGAGGCCCCCGGCGAACAGTCGGGCAGCACGATGACCGGCGCCAGGTCCGGCGTGGGCGGGGGGGACGTTTCCGGCGAGCACGGCGGGGGAGGGGGTGGAAGCTTGTGCGGAGGAGGCGGCGGCGGTTCGGGTGATTCCGGTGGCGTAGGAGGAAGCTCCATTTCCACGGCGACGTCGTCATCGTCGTCGTCTTCGTCGTCTTCGTAGAGTCCCTGCGGACGGGGCTCGATGCACACCGTGCCCACCACGACGTCCTCGAGATCGTCGTCCTCGTCCTGGTCGTCGCTCGACACGAGCTCGTCCGAGTCGTCGGCGTGCACCCGCGAGGCCGCGGACCCCCGGCCCGGCCCCGTGAGCACGAGCTGGCGCCGCCGCTGGCGCCACTCGTCCATCTCGGCCATCTTGCGCTTGTAGAAGGAGCGCGGCTCGGAGCCCTTGGGCCGCAGGGAGATGCGCTTGATCTTGGGGGCGGCCGCCGCGACCACCTCCGCGCTGAAGAGGCGGCGCGCGCGCATGTAGAGGATGCAGGCCACGCACAGCACGAGCGGCAGGAAGCCGCCCAGCCAGGCGGGCACCCCGCCCGCGCCCTGCGCGCGCACGGCCACGGGCACCGCGACGTGCCAGGGGCCCTCCACCGCCACGTCGCACTCGAACTCGTGGCCCACCGCCATGTACTCGCCGTGGAACTTGGTGCACGAGTACTTCACTGCGTCCAGCCCGCACCCGGCCACGTTCACCTGCAGGGGCACCGAGCCCCGCCGGCTTGGGGAGGGCGCCGCCGCCGGCTGTCCCGCCCCGCCTGTCGCGTTGTCGGCGGCGTCCTCGTAGTCGCCGGCGTCCGTCTCGCTCTGCAAGACGCCACAGATGGGGACTCAGCGCACCGCCGCGGCCATTAAATGTACGCGAGCACTGGCCACGGCATGTGTGGGCCCATAAGAGTAAAATTTCTGATTGTTGACTCGATAAACGTACTACATCCCGCACATTGAGTGCGACCGGTTTCATCCCTCTATATCTTTACCTTGACACTTGACCGCGTTGCGGTCATTGCGTTAATGCATATAGCTGGATAAATAACCCGTCGATCAATATGCACTCGCAAAAGTGCTGCGGGGCCGCGGCGTATGCCACGAAGTCATAATCATGTCGTTCTCCATGAGTCATAACATGACATTTTAAGTCGTATGAATAGGTCTTAAAAGGACATCAAACCATCGGGACCAAGACTGGACCTTAGTGTTGCAGGTCGATTACGAGCTCATACTTCTGCTGTCAATGCAGGAGGCGGGTGGTGAAGGGTTGGGGGAGG